ATGATAAATTGCACTGGTGCTTATTATTGCTCACTAGATGTATTATAGCCTCCCCACAGGACAAACTGACCTCATGGTATCCTGTAGTGTGCGAGATATCAGCAAGAATATTTTCATTAAGCATTTTGATTACAAACTGTGTGTAGCACTCTGTTGCAATTGGAATTGTATCTAATCCCCTGCTTCCAAAAATAGCTGTAATAATGGGATTTCATTATTAACGAGAACTCTACTTTTAAGCCAGCAAACCAAGATGGTGCCATGATTTTATTACACAAAGACTTCCATTGTATTCTGATAGCTGATAGAAGTATGTAATTCACAGCATTTATGTGATGATCTGCCTATGCACATATTGTCATTTGTTGCCCCTATTCCTCAAGGTTCCCTACAAACAAATAAGAAATATATAGTTGAGTAAAAAGCTGGACTTGGAAGTTTTGCCAGACTGTTGGATCATTATTTGAATTTACACAACCCTTGAGGTTGTTAGCCATTTTGTTTTTCCAATGAATGTTCTCTCACACAGAGAATTAATTAATATGTTCAAGAAGTTTTTTTTACAATGACACTGAGATAGTTATTTGCAATGACACTGAGAATGCCCCATTTCCTAATAAAACAGACTAATTAATAAACAGTTACTGCTCTTTTCTTTTTCCTGCTGTTTTTCATGGTAGTGAAAGCTGCCTTATTTCTATAATGTTATGTGTATTTATTGTACACGCTCATTCTCAAATCACTCTGGGGAAAGTATCTGCAAGCATTAATTAGTTCTATTATATTATAATTGCAAATAGTGGTAACAAGGTATTTTATTTGACTTCCATCAAGCCTTAACTTTCTGTTTCTTTACCCTGGTTTTCTTCTTAACTCCTTAATTTCCTACTGTTGGAAAATTGGTTTAGGTTAACCTTGGGCATTTCCTTTGTCTTCTTGCCCTTCTTGGTTTTCTTGTCTTCATGATTTGCCAATTCATACATCTTTACATCTAGCTAGTCTTCTATCCTGACTATGTTATGACTCCTTGAGATTTCCACCACTTTCTTAAACTCTGTGCTCAAGACTAAACTTCTCATATTTCCATCAATTTTTTTTTCTCCTCATTACATTCTGTGTCCACTGGCAAAATCAACTTCCACCTATCTATCAGGTGTGAAGTAATGTTGTTTATAATCTCCTTTCTCCCAAACCTAGTTACCTAACATATTTAAGTATCTCTAATTTTGTGGGTTCTGACTTCCTATAGGATATTTTAGGGAACTGCTTAGACCCAAAATTCTTATTTGTCCCCAAAGGGAAGAAATAGTGGAGAGATTATTAAAGAAGATGTACTTGGGATGTAATTTGGCTTTTTGAACATAACTGTGTTTAAATGGAAAGGTATTATGTTGTGTTGTACCAAAATGGTACAAAAGGATCCTTCAGGCTGGGATCTCCCACGTGGGTGCAGGATTCCTTGCAGTCTAGATGTTGTCCCAGTCTAGAGCCTTCAGTCAAAAATGACATGTACACATAAAAGGAAGAATAACATGACTTTTGCTTTAGCTTTGTCCTGTTGTTGGTTAAGCAAGTTCTGGAGATTATAGAATGATAATGCTGAAAATAAAGATCTCAACAAAAAGATTAGTATTACTGGCCAATATTTTCCCCAGATCAGCGACCCCTCTTTACAGAAAATGTTCTCATTTGCTATTGACTAATATATTGTAATTTACAAAGTTAGAGTCCTGGGAAAACTTTTAAGATGGCTTGACTTGCGTTTTAAGCATTCAAAGCAAATGAGACAGGAGAAGAATGCTATTTAAAATTATGTAGTGATTAGGTGGCGGAAAATATGAGTTACAAAAAGAGACAAATGTGAAATTGTTTCCTAAGAAAATGTGCTGAAAAAATGATTCAGCCTGTTCTTACAAAAATGTCTGGGCCACTTTTGAATTTATTTGGTACATCACACTTTTTCAAAATATAATGTATAAATGAATCACATTATTTTTTCTGGTAAAACTTTACAAACATACAACATGTAAAACATTTGCAGACATAAACGCAAGGTGCAAATACACGTACATGCCTTGCTCCTGTCTTCGTTTCCTTTTTAGAGACAGGAAGAACATGCTGAAACCCACTTAATGGTTCCTCTTGCAATTTCTTAACCCCAATTCTCACAATTTTTCAGTCACCTGCTTCTACCTAGATATGTTCCAGACATTTGGGCAGCATTTCCAGAGCAGAGCTGAATGGTTTCAACTTGCTGCAAGTGGGAGGCAAGAGAGGGAAAGTTACCTGTTATAATGCAACATCTGAAATTTGAGGTATCAGATAGAGATAGATACTTATATTTGTGATTCTAATTTCAGACTAAACTCAATCCTCTCCTAGTTGTAAGAGGCAGGGAGAGAAAAATGTATGAGGTTTACTGAGTTGAAATGTTTGAAATGTACAGTTCCTACATTTTGATATGCTGAGGTACTCTTATACAGGCCTTCCTGAGGAAATAGGCTTATAACTAGGTAATGCTGCCCACTTGCCCTTTCTCCATATTCCTGTTGGTCAGAAAGTTTGGTCATCAAATACTGGAGGTAGAGAAAAAGTAGACATGATAGGTTTCAGGCTGTGGGGTGTCTGTAGCATTATTGCTTAAGTCCAATAGAAGTTGGATACCTTGCCCAAATACTCAAAACTGCCATGTTACCATTGCTCAATTCTATGGAACAGACCCTCTGAACCTCTGAAATCCATCTCATTCTGGAAGAAGAGAGTTTGGTGCTGGCTATCCAGAGGATGGGCTTCACGATTTATTAATTTTTTTTACAATCTAGAACAGCCATTCTCAGCTTGGGAATCTCTTTGTGTTGCTCTCCTCCTAAACTGAAACCGGACAGCTTTGAAATCCTCTCATATGGAAGAGGAGACTTCAAACTAGTTGTGGGTTGAGCCCCCTCCCATGGTTAAGGACTCTTTGATTTAGACATCCTTTCATGGATTTTGGGATTCTGCGTAGCCCAAGCTGGTGCTGGGTGTGATTCAGGGGTAGGTTCTACTTACCTTTATCTACTTACCTTTACTATCAGTTCGCAACGGGAGCACGCACACTTCTGCACAGATAGTCAATTATGATGTTCAGGCAGGTGGGCGGAGCCTCTCGCCGCTTTTACTACCGGTTCTAAAGAACTGGACAGAACCGGGAGCCCACCGGACAGAACTGGACAGAACCAGATAGAACCCACCACTGGTGTGATTCCTCTTAGAAGCAATATGGAGAATGGACGTCTCGGCTTTCTCCCATAGTTCAGTGAAGAAGTTCCTGTCAGCCTTCTTTTATACTGCAAACTCTGTGAGGGAAAAAAAACCAAGGGAGTCACTGAAGCAAAACCACATAGCCACATCATTTAGCTCTTGAAAGGGAGCGGACCAGGCAGGCTTCACTAAGCAGCTTCAAGGGACTGCTTGGTTCAAAGCCTTGTCAAATTGAAGCATGTTGAAATTCCTTTCAGAATGAAAGTGTACCAGAATGACCTCATCCATGTTCAGCCAGAAATTGCATTATATATTTCATAACTTACATCTCCCTTAAAAACTGAGATTTTAAATTCCCACTTGAGGATGGGCAGGTGGGCTGAGTAGGTGTTCAAAGTTAAAATGTAGAAGAGGAAGACTATATTGCCGGGTGTTTGTCAGTATAAATATATTGCAAATTTGTCAAGGTAAAAGTTTCTATGCCAGTGTGTAATAAAGTAACCTAATACAGCAGGCATACATTTTTATGAATGCATTTGACTGTATTATCTCAAAACTTCAAAGCTTTGGCTGTCATAATCCTGATTTATATTACTAATCATTTTTGTGAATTCATGCCTGTTCTCAAGATGTATGGAAAGCAACAGTAGAAGAAATAAGTTATACCAAAGTATTTTATTATATGTATTTTATTAGAGTGAAGGTAGAAAATAGATGGTTCATGTTTAAAAGAGAAACTAGCAGATTCAGAGGACATTTATTGCCAACATATCCCTCATGTAATGGGAGAGGAAAAACATTTTAGCCAGAGTTATTCTACTAGAGTGGACGAGGGTTTTCCCAACCAAATTAAACATGATTTTGCCCTTGATCCTGGAGAAACAATTCCCTTTAGCTTTGGTTATGACTCCAGTGATGTTGCCTATGCTAGCCACCTTCTAGAATGGATAATCTGGGGCTGTGGTCACTTGTGGAAAATGTAGAGGTCTTTCGCCTGTGTATTCTACCCAAAATGTGGAGAGTAGTAATTCTACTTCTTTCAGTAGTGGGTTGCTATCGGTTCTCACTGGATTGGGCGAACTGGTAGCAGCGGTGGCAGGAGGCTCCACCCACCCACCCAGACGCTTCTGCGCATGCACAGAAGCGCATGCGCATGAGTGAACCAGTAGTGACAGGATTTGGAACCCGCCCCTGACTTCTTCCCTTTCTTCACAAAATGATAATCTCTTTCACTGAAAAATACATCATCTGCTCATGCTACTCTGCAGCTGCTCTCATGCTCCACATTTCTACGAAGGCTTGGTAATATGCTACACAAAGTAAAGCAGCTATTAAAGTATTTAGGTCTCCACAACCTGGTAGACCTTCATGAATTAGAAAAGTCCTTTCTAATTACAAGCAGAAGGAAAAGGGCTTTCAGGCCAACAATCAAGAGCTATAAATGTGTGATGCTTGATTGTATAGATTGATGTTTTTTTAACCCCGAATACAAAGCGATCAGCAAATAATTCAGCATTTTTAATTTCTATGATTTCACGCTCACTCATCTAAAACTTCAAATCAAAGGGGTTTTATTTGTTCTGCCCCTTTTATTTCTAGGAGGTACTTAGCAATATACAGAAGCAATTCAGAAGAAATTCCATTCTGCTGAGGGACTGGTTTTTTTAAAAAAGTAAACTCCAAGTGTACTTCATTATATATTATGTATTATTTTGCATATTATTATAATTAATAGCCTTTCGTGCCTCTCTTGTGTTCAGGATCATATCCCCCCCTATTTTTGGAACAGACCTCGGCAATCACAGCTCTTCTCCCAGCTGCTGAAGGTAAGTTCAGTTAACTTCTATAAAAAAACATTCAGATATGTTTACAGAGTATCTTGACCAAAATAGATACTATTATTCAAACTGATATCAGTATCCTATCCTGGGTCAGGGCTGGGGATGGAGATAAAAGAAAGCTTAACTATATCATCCAATTCAAAATATTGCTCAGGATCAAAACAATACAAAGTTGCTAAGTCAGTCCAAAAGCCAAAGCCAGATCACTCCAAATCCATGCTGAGATTCCCGGAAACACAAGACAAGAGAGAATGAAAATTAGCCTCCACACTGCAAAAATGTGGATGTCAGGGAGGTTAGTCAGGATTCAAATGCAAGGGAATCCACTCACCAGGCTTCTCAAGCAGCCTATTGCTTCCAATAATAAACTCCTCTCAGACAAAGAATGTACTAAAAGTTATAGTTACATGGTCCTTACTCAGTTGGCTTCAGGTTTGATGTGCCTTAAGCTCTACAGATATCGAGCAATTCTTAAATGTACTTTTATTTTCAAGACCTTCCCTTGTACATTTGTACACTGATACAGCTTTAGCTTCTCACATTTGATTCAACATATCTGCCATTTTCATGGACTGTGCTGGTTAATATGGGTCAGAGTCTTGGTCAACATATTCTGGGTTAGTGGAGATTGATTATGGCCAGAGGCAATCTGGGTCATGTGATCCAGAGAGCTTAGTGAGATCGCCTGACTCATCTTCCTTATCTAAGAGCCAAGGTGGTGCAGTGGTTAGAGTGCGGTACTGCAGGCTACTTCAGCTGACTGCTAGCTGCAGTTCGGCAGTTCAAATCTCACCGGCCCAAGGTTAACTCAGCCTTCCATCCTTCTGAGATGGGTAAAATGAGGAGCCAGATTGTTGGGGGCAATAGGCTAACTCTGTAAACCACTTAGAGAGGGCTGTAAAAGCACTATGAAGCGGTATATAAGTCTAAGTGCTATTGCTATTGCTAAGAAGTCTTTTTCAGATGAAGTCGTAACAACCAGGTTTAAGCTACAAAACTAAAATCGAATCAGTTTTGCTCACTCAGTTTTGCACCAGGATTACTTCTAAATTTGATGAAATGTAAAGATTCAGGTTTTAGTCCACTAATATAATTTACAGGATAATTTACCTCCCACTTTTAGAATGGACTGGGAATAAATATTTGTCTTTTCCTGCAGTTTTCTTGTTCTGCTGACGAACATAGTGAGTTCAAGGAGAGAGAAAAGAGTTGCCTCCTTGTTCCTGCCATTGTCATATGTATAGCAGACTAACTCTTTGAAATTTTGGCAAGATAAGCATATAATAATAATTTTGTAAAACTAGGCAAGAAATTGTCAAGTTCTTCATATTACAACATCCTTTGACAATGTCTCCACTTTGTTTCTATAAGAAATAAGTAAATAATTAAAAATGGAAAATATGCTCCCAGAAAAACTACTACAACCCTAGCAGATGTAGAGTGGTAGTGATAGTTGTTTTGGTGCCTGACTCAGCATTGGCTTCTGGAGACTAGATTAGTCCCTGGATTTTCCTTAGCAAGAATTTCAGAAATGGTTTGCCATTGACTTCTTCCAAAGATTGAGAGATAGTGACTGGCCCAACTATCATCCAGGTCCAAGGTCATCCAGTTGGCTTGATGTTGAGTAAATCATGTTCTCCCAGTTTCTAGTCTTGGGTCTTAATCACTGAAACAAACTGGCCACCATTTCATATGCCCAGTAGTACAACTGTTTAATTCTTTCTCTAAGTATATTTCCATTTCTAGATTTTTTTTTCTCTAAACATACTTTCTCTTAGATAAAGACTGGAATGTCTCATTCTTTCAAGAATATCTAGAAACAGGGTACTACATTAATCAATTAGTTTCCCTTGAAAAAGTTCCAAGCAAAGCTTTTCTTGGTCACCCAAGAAACCACAAGCATGAGGTATTTAGAGATCTAGCATATAAGGTAAGAGTACAATCACCATGTAGGAAGCAGGATGAGTAGGTAATAAGAAGCAGATCAGTGCTTACCTTAATGAGACTGTAGCACCTGAAGATGATAGTTTCTTCCCAAAAATGAGATGATAGTTTGACTTCCATTTCCTGTAAAATATTCTCATATAAATAGGTAGAGCTGAATTCACAATTTAGTACCCAAATGCCTAATGTTAGGCAGGACATGTTGCTTCTGCTTTTGATGGATGCATTTCTTCATCTTATAAAAAAACAAAAACAAACAAACAAAACTTAAGATGCTGTTGTGCCACCCTATTTATTTATTTATTTATTTATTTATTTATTTATTTGTTTGTTTGTTTATTTATTTATTTATTTATTTATTAAATTTTTATACCGCCCTTCTCCCAAAGGACTCAGGGCAGTGTACAGCCAAGATAAAAAACCAACAATATAAATGATAAATATAATGATAAATATTCATTGTGTTAAGTTGTAATTAGTGTTTTAAACTCTGATTTAGTTCTTAATTTTCAGAATTATGAGTTACATATTGCTTTTGCTGATCCTCAAAGGAATTGTAACCATTATGGAATTGGCTGTGTATATATTTTATACTGGTGGTGCTATATGTAATCATATTCATAAATCGATGCACGCAGCTGCAGAAATTGAGAAGATATAGCCCACACACACACACAGCTGAATCCATAGAAAGGTGGACCCAATTTTTCCTCAATAATCCCAATATCAGGAGTTAATGAAATTCATTCAAGGAAAGAAGCAAAGGAAAAAAATAATAATAAAAGACATGCTTTTTGTAAAGTCCCGGGCATAGTGGTCAGGCAGTGATCTAAATTTGAGAAAGATGTAGGAGAAATCTGGATATGTTTCTGGACATTATTTCTGAAGTATTAAAACCTAAATTGCTTCCACCTGTCCTGTCTGATCTGGCAAGAAAGGACATACTATCTACTAGGGAATGTTGGCTAGCTAGATCCAGAAGGCATGGGTTAGAGCAGATATCTATAAAAGTGAGAAAAGTAGAGATGTTCCAAGAAGGCTACACAATATGACTCAGTATTGAAAGCAATGTAGAATGGTTTTTACGTAAAACTAATTTCAAAGTTCTGTAATTCAGGATATATATTATCAGGAACAAAATAATTCATTAAGAAAATATTTCTCCCAGACTAAGTACTGATTAATCTTTTTGCATGATTATCTGTGCATGTCTAGTCCCTACCAAATTAATCGTGTCCTACAGAGGTGGGTTTCAGCAGGTTCTGACCAGTTCTGGACAACCGGTAGCAAAAATTTTGAGTAGTTCAGAGAACTGCTAGTAAAAATTCTGATTGGCCCCACCCCCATCTATTCTCTGCCTCCCAAGTCCCAGCTGATTGGGAGGAAATGGGGATTTTGCAGTAACCTTCCCCTGGAGTGGAGTGGGAATGGAGATTTTACAGTATCCTTCCCCTGCCATGCCCACCAAGCCACGCCCACAGAACTGGTAGTAAAAATTTTTGAAACCTACCAACTGATGTCCTAGTATGAGAAACATCACTTTTGGTTCCATTTCTCTGAAATTGCTATTTTTTTATTTCTTTTTTTATACTGAATTTCCATATGATGCCAGCTTCAAATCAATCTATTCCAGTATTTTCTTTGCTACTTCCATGTTTTTTTCCCCCCAGCTTGTGGCAATTTTCTTCCAATCTTTCATAAAATATGATGGCATGTTTATTGTGGCTTGTAAGAATGATTCTATGTTTAATTAATTTAGGCTGTCTCTGATTCATTTTCAGAGTAGCTTGAGGATAACTGATGAATTGCCCATTTACTCATCAAATTCTATTTCTCTCAGGGAGCTTCACTTTATTTATAGTTTTTCTTCCTATTATAATGCTATTTCATTATAAAAAATATGGAAAAGTAATGAAAAACCTAGATGCTTAGCCACTCCTTTCGGATGGAATACAGAAGCATGCTAATTTCTTAACGCATTATGGTATGACTTGGGCCCAGAGATGGGGCCAGCATATTTATTTACACCTTTTAGCTTAGTAAACCTTCATTACTCTGAAAACCTGGCCTGGAAACTTTATCAAGGTGAAAATGAATCAGATTTCAGTTCAGTTGTGGGACTATGGAAAGTTAGGTAGATGACATGTAGAAGTCTCTGGAATTTACTGTTGAAAGGACAATGTCCATCAATATAAAAAGAAAATGTATTTAAAACAAATCTCCCTTGTGGGATATAGGCAGTATGGAAACATAAAATATAAATAAATAAATCTTTTGGGGATTTTTTTTTAATGATTTCATTTGATCCAATGAAGCTTACCCATAAACAATGTTGCTAATGTGGTCACCAACAGGTTCACAATTAAAATAAAATGCCTGGCATACAAATAAAAGCATAGGCAGTGGAGCTGTAGCTACTGCCAAGCATTTCCACTGCATCCTTGGCATTTTTATTTCATTTTGCATTTGGAATTCACTGCCAATTAACTTTGGAGGGCCAAACTTCCATATTATACTTTTAAATCTGAAGGCAGTCTGTTTTCTGCTACCTACTACCTTCCTTAATGGGTTACCATACTTTAAAGGACTTTAAGCATACTGACCTGCAAAAGAAAATTTTAAGCTCCTCCTATAGAGAGCGAAGTTGAATGCTCACAGAAGATCCACAACAGATTCACATCATTTGAGTGCAAGAATATTGAATGTGCCTTAGCTATCTATTATTCCATCCCAACAGCAAAAAAAAAATATAGGCTGGAAAGGTAATAAACAGCAGAGTAGAAGATTTCAGACACTTAGGGAAGCTATGCTGTCTCCCGGAATGAGCTATCTGCATCATTATATCTTAGCTTTCTTAGTCCCAAAGGGTTTGGCTGTATCCAATCCAAATAACAGACAAGGTGTTTAAAAACATTAGATTAATTTATACTGTAGTGATTGCAGTACCTATTTCTGTCTTAGCATTCTTGAGACAAGTCGGAACAGATGGGATTCAGAATTAAAAAAAAATAGCTACTCTCAAAATCTCAGATTGATTTTATTTACATTTCCTTGACCTTTGTAAACTGCCTGATTACATCAGGATGGCACAGCTATGCAATGCTGAAGAGAAGAATAGAAGCTAAACAAAACACTCATTAAAAAAAAAAGAATGTTTGAAGAGACCCTGTCAGATGAGATGAGCTCAGAGGCACAGCAGGCTTCAGAGAAGTTCTAATATACCAGGAATATCATTTCTATTCTCAGCTGATTTCAATGAATATTAATACTTTGAATACTTGGAAACTGAGAATAGCCAATATATTAACTGTTTCATAAAATGAAATGATTTAGTTAGGAATTCTGGAAGCACCAGTCACAATATTCCTAGATGCCACAAGGTGAGGAAGGCTGAAAGAGAATATACCCTTAAATAGTATAAATAGAACTGATTTGGCTAAAATGAAATCTAGCATTTATTTTAAAATTATTTCATGCTATCTCAATAATGCAGTATTAGTGGGGACTGGTATAGATATGAAATAGAGATCTAACTCAAGCTTAATCTGTTTTATATTGCCAATTAACTTTGGAGGGGCAAACTTCCATATTATACTTTTAAATCTGAAGGCAATGTTTAAGGGAAATCAAGCTACTGATTTCACAAAAATGTGTTTCGATAACCATTCTTACAGTTTTGATCAGAAGCACCAAATGCACCCAGGCTCCAACTGAAGGAAGCTTCCTGCTTATTCTTTTTGCTTCGATATGTTCCTCTTTACCGCCAGTCTTTTGGGGCCCTTTTCTTACCTCCTCCTTTTGCTGATGATGGATGGGCAGCAAGCTGTTTCTGAATCAGCACTAATGTCACTTACTTACTCCCTGTATCATCTTGGAACTTAAAGTGTGAAAATACAGAGCTTGGTAACGTGTATCTTCGGAGAGTCTCAGTTGTGTAGCACTATGCCATCTAACTCAAGTGCTTTGCTATATTTAGAGATTCTCATCACAGGCAGATCAACAGGCAGTTGCTGCACTCTAATCTACTTTGAAGGACACTTGGCATAAATCCAGTGCTGCTCCTCCTTGCCTTCTTCCATCTCTTAAAAACACTTGACATCACAGGTGGAAGACATAAGATGTTGTAGAAGTCATTGAAGACCATTTTAGAGCAATGTGCCTGACCTTTTGAGGCTTACATTAAAACCTTTCTTATTTTTCTCATCACATCTTCCAATCTTTCTCTCCTTCACTGACTTTCCAAAGTTCATTTTTTTTACTTTAGAAAGAGAGCTTTTTTATTTAGGAATTTTCTAGGACCTTGTTCCATTAATGTAGGGTTATGGAAAGTAAAACGTATTTTGAAAAAAAAGTAACATTCAAGGAAAACCTTGGTAATAGTTCTTTGTTTCGGATAAGATCGTGCATTCTGAACTGGAAATGGCAACTCTTGTTAAAGTCTGGATGAGGTCATATGTCATGGCAAAGTGAATGTGCAGGCTCAGTTTATTCATTTCTGTTGTGAAATATTGAATATATTTGATGTTTATCAGGCTATGGATGGGAAAGCTTTTTTATTGAGCAGATATATTTTGAAGTAGATAAACAATCTGGGATTACATGCAAAGTTGGTTTCTAGGATCTGGCTTCTGCATAATTTAGAATTAAGAAATCTTAATGGGGAAATCTTTGACCCCATGTTCAGCCCAGAATGACCTTTAAGAAACACAATTACTTAATTTATTTAAGGTATAAATCCATTCCTGGCTACCTGCAAGCTACCTCTGCTTCTTCACCTAATTTGCAACTTTGTTGTAATTTGTGAAATGCAAAATCTATGCTGAGAGTCATATAATACATATTAGAACTGAGTGGGTGGAATGACATAAAATTATTGTCCAAATCTATTTATTTACTTTTGAAAGAGCATGCACTAATAGCACCATATTTTCTACTCCATTTTCCCATTGAATGCTGTATATTATTGTCCCTTAGTGTCATAGTTTAGGTTTGCCAGTTGCTTTTCAACTTTCATTATTAGGGTCACTTCAAACAATTTCTTAGTTTGCTCATATGGGACTTAAAATGAATTTTTGGATGGAATGAATTTATGACCAGAATGATGCTAATAGGAATATTTATAACTCTGATTACTTGATAATGAAAAAGGATTCTTACCTGGTACTTAATTTAGGAAGAAACAAGTGCCTCCCACTAAACACCACAGATTTTTTTATTACGCATAAACTTTGTTACAATTTTTTCTGTGTTCATTTTTTCTTCTGCCGGTTGTCCTAGTTTCCAGATATATGTGCATATTGCATGAACTTAGTGTGCATACTTGCATCTTGGGGTTTTTAAGCACCCCCCCCCCAAAAAAAGTACACCTTTGGTTCACCTTTGCCCAGGAAATTCAGGGAGTTGCAGTTCCAAAGACACAGAAGAAGGAAGTGGTTTTTTTTTTTTAATTTGATTTATATGCCGCCCTTCTCCGAAGACTCAGGGCGGCTTACAATGTGCTCAGCAATAGCCTTCATCCTTTTGTATATTTATACAAAGTCAGCTTATTGCCCCCACAACTGGGTCCTCAATTTACCTACCTTAGAAAGGATGGAAGGCTGAGTCAACCTTGAGCCTTGGCGAGATTCGAACCCTGCAGTAATTGCAGGCAGCTGGTCTTAATAACCAGCTTAATAACAGGGTGCCTTAAACCCCTGTACTACCAAGTGTTGTGACCTAGGCCCAAGTAGTTATTACCAGACACAATCAGTCCTAAACAAACGTATTTTATTAGAACAGCTGAGAATTACTTCATTCTTAGCTTAGTCCAAATTAAGTCCAAAACAAATCCTTCATAAACAGTCCTGCAGCCTTATCACCAACCTTTGTCTACTTTGGCACCCTGCCAAAGGCTTTTCTTGGCAAAAGTTCAGAAGCAAGAGACACTGACAAGAAGCAAATGTAAAAACGTTGCTTTCCTACAAAGATCCCAAGAGCCATTGCTGCTCTTTTAAGCCTTCTGGGAGGGGCCAATCATCTCCTGGCCTTACTCCCGAGTCATCCTTTTTGCTTTAGCTGCTCTTGCCTTCTGGCAGCTCTTTGCATGCATGCACTAGGAACAAGTTCCTCCTGTTCCTCTGCCTCTCTGCTATCCGCCTCTGGAGACTCCGGAGTCCACACATCGCTCCCAGATGGCCCTGGTCCTATCTCTGCCTCTGACGCAGAGCCCTCGTCTGGGCCTTCCCCTGACTCCAGGACAGACCCATTGTCCTCCCCAGCCTCCTCACTGTCCGACTCTTTTTTTTTTTTAATTTGATTTATATGCCACCCTTCTCCGGAGACTCAGGGCGGCTTACAATGCGCTAAGCAATAGCCTTCATCCTTTTGTATATTTATACAAAGTCAGCTCCCCCACAATTGGATCCTCAATTTACCTACCTTAGAAAGGATGGAAGGCTGAGTCAACCTTGAGTCTGGCGAGATTCAAACCTGCAGTAATTGCAGGCAGCTGGTCTTAATAACAGGGTGCTTTAGACCACTGTACTACCAAGGCTCTTGGTAGCACAGGACTCTGCTGCCAGCTCCACAAGCTGCTGGCAGACCACAACAGGAAGGTTGCTAGTGTCTAATAGTATTGCACACATGTTAGAGATGAAAGTAAAGGCCTTAATTCCGTTTTTCTGGCATTTTCAGAACAGTTGTTACTATCTAGTCCAGGGATGTCAAACTCAAGGCCCACGAGCTGAATCCGGCCCATGGGGTGCTTAGATCTGGCCCACAAGGCCAACCTGGAAACAGCAAAGGACTGGCCCGCGGTGCCTCTGCCACAAAAACGGAGCTCGTTTTCCCTGGCAGAGAGTTGCAGGAGGCTGTTGCTGCTGAAAGCAGAACTCGGGAGCCCATTTTCGCTGGCAGAGCACTCAGGCCACCACAGGTGCCCCTGACATGAGTGATGTCAAGCTGGCCATGCCCTCCCTGGCCACACACACACCCTGGTCCCCCTAGTTCAAACACAACCCTGATGCGGCCCTCAACAAAATCAAGTTTGACAGCCCTGGTCTAGACCTTTCTAGTTAATGTACGTGAAACCAAATGCAAACAAAGTTTCTGCTTCTTGGAATTTTTTACACTCGGGTAGACTCTCTGTGTACAAAGAATGTATCTGACCTATTGATATATTTGTGCTGGATTGGAATGATAAATCTGAGTTGGTTCATGGCTGTGAAGTGTAAAGAAAAATGGTATATATTTTTAATATAAAAGAAACTACTCATGGCTGAATAATCTAACAGATATTTCATTGCACTGTGGATATCACAATATTGGCACACAGGCAGAATCAATTTTGTTTTCATACCTCTTTGTAAATCTCTTCTCTCCCATAGCACATGGATGGTGCTTATATTTATGGAACCAATATGCAGAAAGACTGTAGGTTTTATAGCTTTTAAGAACATACCTGCTTTGTAATACTCGCAATCACATATTTGCTGGCGCTTCTGCAAACATGCTATCCTTTCTCATCCCTGGTAATTCATTGTTTGCATTCCTTGGTTTAACTTTTTAAAAATTATTCTTTTGCTCATACAGTGGGAAAGCTTAACGTGACAGCTACAAAAAGTAAGTAGTGTATATTGTATTTTGTTGTTTGCTTTTGGCTGGATAACCATACCAGTTCCATCTGAAATGGTCATGTGATTTGAGGATAGACTCTTCTAGTATCCCAGAAAAACTTCTTGTGTATTCAAATCAGCATGTGTGGGAAGAGTTAGGATGTGCCCAAAAAAACCATGATCAAGCTAACTTAATCCTGTGTCCTTTGGAGGGAAATGCAGAGGATTCCAGATCACATGTAGATTTCAAAGGTCCTCCTCTGAAGATAGCCAGGTTGTATAAATGAATGCAGGACAGAGACTAGTTAGTGCTACTCTCTTCTCCCTTTGTAAGTTGATAAAATGTGTGAGGCATTTCTCTGTATATTGGCAATAAATAACAAAATACGTTAATATCAGTGACACTGAAATTGAGGGCAGAGTTAAAGATAAAACGTCATGTTTGCTTTTCTTTTCCTTCTCTCATGCCTAAAGTTTCTTAGTCATTTGTTGGAGAAGCAGCTCCTAATCATGACTGATCTTAAATCCATAAAATATATTTTAGCAAATTAACTGAATATGGGTTTATTAGAAAAACAGCTTCCTCTCTTACTTCTTTCTCTTCCTTCCAGACACTTGGTATAACCACATGTTGTGTTAACTGCAATATAGGTCAATTGTAGCATTGCAGGTTGCAAATGGGAGCACATACGATTGAATGCTCTTTTGTTTGTTTTTTTAAACAAACAAAATAAGAATTGTCTAAAGACAATTCATTTGAATGATTTGGAGCTAATCTGTCCCCAATAAATTTTGAATTTATTTAGACTTCTGTTTCTGTGGTTGTTTGTTTTTGCCTTTGCCTCTATATGCATAACTCTGACTCAGTCACTGTCTCTGGCTTTATCCATCTCCTTCACTGTCTCTATAATTATCCATCTCTGTCTCCATCTCTGCCTCATTTATATAATCTGTATTTGGATCTATTATCCAGTCTGTGTCTGCAGCCTGAAGGGATGTAACTGAGACACAAACTGATGAAACTGAAGAAGGCTAATTGGCTACTCTATCAGGGGGTTAAACAGAGCTCCCTTGGACCTGAGGGAAGCCTTTTAGATGGGGTTCCTCAATGGAGAGGGCCTTAGTAGCAGCAGATTTGAGCTGAATGATCATTGACCTGCATTGCATCAACATATTCTCACTTCTAGATCCAGAAAGGATCTGTCTCCCGCTTCTTCAGAAGATAGCCAGGCATATTCAAGACCCTTCCCTCAGATAAGCCCCTGCAATTACCCTTAGACCTATTTAGCTAGGGTAGAAAGCTTGGATGAACATTAAAGGGCAGCGAAGAGTTTTCAGCTCTTTCAGCTGCCCTTCTCTTTTTCCTTCAGGAGCACAAGAAAAGGAATAGAGCATTCAGGAGCAATCAGCATGGAAGCTGCCAGAGACTCTAATGGCTCTGTTTCTTATACCTGCCACAACAGCCACAGCAGAGTTAGTGGCTCTTCTGTCACTCACTCTGCCTTCTTTTAGAGCTATCAAGCAGCATGTAGTTGACAACTGGACGTGGCAGCAAGGAGTCAGAGAAAAGTTGACTAGGCTACCATCCAATCACTTTCAAATATAGCAAACCAGATAAGATAGCCTTAATCACATTACTATTTTATTGAAGGTGTAGGCTAAGGAGCGGGTGACAACTGAAAGCCTGGTGGACTCCCCTTTATTAAATGTACAGCATTACTCTTCATCTAATCATCTTTTTAAAAATGTGTACAGGCTGCTATTATGTGGAGGAATGCAACATAATTTGAGACTGGACATATATATATATATATATATATGTAAAGATTTCCCTGTCCGATCATATCTGACTCTAGGGCGCCATCTTCATCTCCATTGCTTGGCCAAGGGAGCCAGCATTGTCCGAAGACATTTTCTGTGGCCTTGTGGCCAGCATGGCTATATGCCAAAGGCACACAGAATGTTGTTACCTTCCCACAAAGATGGTACCTGTTAATCTAGTCACATTGGATGCTTTCAAACTGCCAGGTGGGCAGGAGCTGGGTCAACAATGGGAGCTCACTCCATTGCACGGTGCAAAGCCAGGCTGTCAGCTGTCCAGCTCAGAATCTTTAACCTCATTTACCTTTGGAAAAAAATCAAAGAACACATCTAAATTATGAATCTGAAGTTTTGGAGTGGTCTTATCCAATCCAGCATAGAACTGTAGATTGCCAGGATCATCTATTCCTTGTGTGAATGAAGTTTAAATGCATTTGCCCTCATCCATTTCATTATGGTATCAGATATCTATATCAGATGGTTGAATCTATGTGGATGAAAAAGAGAGACACAGAGAGGATTATCACCAAAATGTAGATGTATCAAAGCTTTAGAACCTGGATAGTTTCCTAGTGTAGTTTATTATATACAGTAAATAGAGTGAGTAATGCGATAGAGGGACCGCCTTCCAAGACCACTTTTCCAACAATGTCAAGACTGACCATTAAAAAAAATGCTTCTAAATTCTATCCCATTCAAATGCTCTGATCATCAGATATAATGGCTGAAATCCAACGGTGCTGACATTTTGCTTTTCAACCCTAAAGAACAAAATAAACACATTATTTGTGCCCAGTTATTATCACAGATGATCAAAGTACTTTCTGTCCCTAATGAGGTAAAAATGAAGTCGAAGTGTATCAAAATTATCCTGGGTGGTCCAGAAATTCAGTTATCCCTCCATTCAAATGTCAATCAACTGCACTGCTGTTCCACAGTATGGCATTAGCCTACTTTAAAAAAAAAAACACCTTCTGAAGTTGTTTTTCCTAGCCTTCCCCCACTTCTGTGTGAAGTCTTTTTCCTCCATTAAAATGAATAGGCTGTTGACTAGGCAACATTTTGTGCTGTTTATTTTATTTTTAGATTCAGAGGTATTTTATTTTTCCAAGTACAGAAGTAGAAAGTAGAAAAGGTTCTGTCATTTTGACTACTAATTCTTGAATAAAAATGCACTTTGAAATAATTTCCTTTTAAATTTATTCTTTAGAAGTGGAAAAAGGAAAAAAGGTGGTTCAAGAAAAGAAAGCTATTCCACAAGTTATAAGAAAAGGTAGGGTATTTATTATTTTAAAATAAAGCAATTAATTTGCTTCATCTTTAAAGGGCTCTAATCTGCCTATTGTATTTAAATAAAATGAAACCAATTAATTAGCCTTTGATTTATGTCTTAGAAGAAGAGAGGAAGAAAGTAACTGCTGAGAAGAAAGGTGTTCCTGAAATTAAAAAGAAAGGTAAGTTATTTGCATAAGTATTGCATTATTAGATTGCTGCTGTATTATATAGGTATATGGTTATTTTTGAAGTATCACAAATTTGTATCAAATAATCAAGTAGTCATAGAATCACCACTATAGTAAGATGGAGACTAGAATATATGTGAATATATGTGATGCTCGTAAAAGGAAGAGTGAAGCTTCAATTGCACAATCACAGTTGACCTTTTTTGGGTGAATTCCATGGACATATCTGTAGCATTTGGAAAGAGAGTATCAGACTGAGCCCAAAGGTGGGCTCAAACGCATCACCACTCTGGGATCCTATGCCCCTGAAAGAGACCTAAGTCCAGAGAGGCGTGGTGGCCTAGTGGTGAAGATGCTCACTTCCCACTCAGAAGGTTGAGAGTTCAGTCCCAGGTAGCAGCAGCAGATATTTCTCTCTTAAGGCACAAAGAAAAAATATCTGCTGTGAACTTCCCATGTAGGTGTCAGGAAACTGTTTTGTAGGGGATAACAATTTAAATGAAATAATATGTACATTCATCATGAGATGTAAGCTTAATGCCTGCTGACACAGAACTCTAAATTACAGCTGTTTGTCTTAATGTTGAATGGACAGAATCAGTTGAGCCTCTTTTTCAGTTTATTGGCTACTTCTGATCCAAAGCCATGTCTTTTTCATATTTAGAAGTGGAAGAAGAAAAAAAGATAATCCATGAGAAGAAAGATGTTTCCGATATTCAGGCAAAAGGTATGCTTTTGGACTGTGATTTTTTTTTAATTGTATCATTAACACAATAGTTTAAATATAAGGAATTATATATAAATATAATCTCATTGCACATTACATCCTCCAGTAGAAGTGTTGTAATCTGTACAGATTATTGAATCCCACTGATGTCAGTGAGCATCTCCCAGGTACATAACATTCTTTACTTTCGTCATTAACCAGCAAAAATTTACTGTCAAAACTAGAATTAAAGCCATATCATTGTGCTAATATAAGAATAACTAAATGTAGGGAATTATAAATATAAATTTATTATTGGCACATAATATCACAGTCATTAAAATGATAAGTAAATAACCTATGAATTCAGTGCTACATAAATTTATGTATTTGGTATACTATTACACACACAAACAGGGAGGGGGGGTAAATAATGATAATATTGATGTAAACATATATGATATAGATACATAGATGATATAGATCCATGATGGCGAACCTATGGTGCATGTGCCACAGGTGGCACACAGTGCCCTCTCTGTGGGCACATGAACCGTTGCCCCAGTTAAGCTCTGCCGTGCATGTGCGAGCCTCCTGCCGGCCAGCTGGTTGTTGGGTCTCTGCTGTGCATGCAGGGGTGCATGCATATGAGGGGGGCACGCATGTGCAGGGGGTGCATGCAGGGGTGTGCGGATGCGTGGGGGTGAGGTGTGTGCAGGGCAGCACGTGCATGTATGCATGGGGGTGGGGCACATGCACGGGGGCACGTGCACATTGCATTTTGGGGGTTCGGGCATGCATGCACACACGCTTTGGCACTCAGTCTGGAAAAGGTTAGCCAACATTAATATAGATAGATATATCTCCTCCAAGTATGTTCAAATTTAGACTGAATTCAATATTCAATCATTCAAAATGATAGCATACATTTTTCATAAGCTTGCTGAAGTATGTGATTTACTTTTCCAGCATAAGAAACATCTTTTTAAAATTAATTTTTAGGGAAAAAAGAAGAAAAAAGGAAAACTCCTGAGAGGGCAGCATTCTCTGTAGTTAAAAAAGCAGGTAAGAAATACTGTATATTCTGTTACTCTCTTCAGTGAAATCTGATTAGTACCTGAGTTTATTTTTTAGATAATTAACTGAATGGGTATGTAAATGTTGATTTTTTAAAATGTTCTGAATTTAGTATTTTTTAAAATCAAAAATGATTTTTCACTTCAGATTTACATTGTGCCTAAACCTGAACTTTTAACTTGGTCCTTTTTTGTTTTTAATAGTATTCATTATTATAAAATTATTACATCCTTGTATTTATGGCATAAGATTATGTCAACATTTTCTTAATACAATATAATAAGGTATTTTGCTAGCAAATTTTCATAGTAAAAATTAATGAGAATTAGTCAGGGCTCTTACATACTGTACATGAACAGTTCTTCAAAGAAATTAATGTTTGTAGAAAATAAGTACTTATAAACAAATATGACCATAACAAAAATATATTTTATGACAAGTAATTCAGTTTGTGGACTGGAAGTCCAGATATGTTAATTTTTTTAGTTGCATGAACTTTCATCAAAACCTTCACCGAAATGTGGCTATGCTGGAATGCTACTCAGGATACTGGGAAGACACAGTTGAAACTTCATATGACCCACATCTTCTCCATCTCTAGGGACATCTGTAGGAGAAGTAAAGAAAAAGCAATATGGCAGCCATACCAACACAATCAAAGCCCCATTCCCTTTTCTATGCAGAACAAATGTGACATATAGAAAAAGGGGCAGAACTTCTGTTAGGCAGTTGCAGCTGTTATCCTCATGTTTATGACCCTTTCTTTTGCTCATATCTACTCATCGTTGTGCTAATTGCTGCACCCTACTAGCTCTCCTCCGAATAAGATATCAACAAAAAGCTGGGTGGAATTAGATCTAAGTTCCCGAAGTAGAAAGTAAAACTACAGTATAAGAATGAAAATGCATTGCACTCATTTGTCAAAATCAAAAGACATTTTGCATATTTGGGAATTGAACTCCCATTTTATTCATACCTACTTGAAATTAAATTCCACCAATCTCAGTAAGCTTATTTCTGAATAAATTTACAATATATAAGATGTCATTAGAATAGAAGGATCTTGCAACAGTAACTCATAACTTTATTTTTAAAATAGCTTTATTTTTAATTTTTAATAACAGAGTTATCCTGATGGTCCTATAGAGAACGATAGGATGCTGAAGATAGTTTGACTTTATGGTTCTATGGCTTTATCTATTCAGGTTTAGTTTCACCATTGATGGTCTGGTTTGTATTGCTCTTAACTTCTGTAAACCAGTGAGGGCCTGTGTGATTGCGGCAACAATAAAATCTAATAAAGAAACATATAAATATTTAATATACCTGTGTAGTCCCACATCTCCAGAGGCTTTTCCAATCAATGTAAGTTGAGGAGAGAAATTGTTATATATTCGTCTGTAACATTCCCAGATACTCCTCTAAAACTGTTGTAAATGGAAAACTTTATGTGTCCATTCAAGCTGAGCTCTCCTGGAATTTGGCTAGTGTTTATATGCGCCTCATTCCCTCTCACCCCTACCCCTCTTTACAGTATATTGGGAGAAGGTCATTGTGCAAACAGGATATGACTGAAAGTTGCATTGTAATTCCAGAAGTTGACACCGTGTTTTCCCAAAACTAAGACATGTCCTGATAATAAGCCCAATTGGGCTTTTGAGTGCATGCGCTAAAATAAGCCGCCCCCCCCAAATACCTAGATGCATGAATGGGGGGGAGGGAAGGGAGGGGGAACATCAGAGCCGCTGCTGCCCAAGATCAGCAGGCCAGATTTGGTGAGACAGACATACCACTGCCACTCAGGAGAAGAAGAGAAAGAGGAGTCGCTGTGAGAGAGTCCATTTCTGATGTTCTTCTCCTTCCAGGTGGTGGCAGCACGTTCAGCTCCCCGAATCTGGCTTGCGGATCTCGGCTGGCAATGAGGAGTGGCAGGTGGGGAGGGGTGGGGCGGTGGATAAGTGAGATGCATGGAGCGAGATGGGGCTCCCCTTGCCATCTCTTTTCCCCACCCCCCCTTGCCAGGCATGGCAGGAGCTGGAAGTCAGGTAAGACACAGCGGAGCAGCAAGACATGTGTCTTACCTGACTTCCAGCTCCTGCCATGCCTGGTCAACAGCTAATGGAGGAAAGTCCATCCATCTGTGAGAAAGCGTGGCCAACCACTGAGGGGGGAAGGGAAGAGAGGCACCCGCTCCTGCTCAGCCCTTGAGATACTCTGTCTTGAGATGGCTGAGGCAGGTGCCATGGTTCCGGACGGTGAGCTCAAGCAGCTTGTACTTGTCCTGCAGGCCGGCCGAGACAGTAAGCGTCTCCTTGAGGAAGGCCCACGCATGTACCAGCATTCCCAGGAAGTCGTCATTGAAGCATCACTCCTTGTGGCTCTCATGCTCCTGGCCTTGCTGAAACTTGTTTTCCAGCTCCCCCAGTGACTTCTCTGAGTTGTCGGGCATGAAATAGTGATGCAACGTCCAAATAGTGATTGAACAGCTCAGCAGCCACATCGAGAGGAGCCTCATCCTGGGGGGGAGGGAGGGAAGCTGCCCTAACACCCTAAGTCTCCTGAAGTGGAGGAGGGCAAAGGCAACTCTGGTCGTGCCTAGTTTCAAGTCCTCTGGTTGCGGCCGCCTTTCTTTCAGGGCTTCATTGGGACCCGCTGGGAAGCTGTCGCTTGGCCCTTCTCGCTCCCTGCAGAGAGTTCTCCTTTGCACCCGATTTGCCCACAAGAACTTCAGGGTTTGTTTGTTTTTTTTTGTGACCTGATCCTCACTGACAATGCTGCAGGCAAGAACCGGCCACGCCTATCCCGCTTCAGGGATAAGACCCCCGAAAATGCCAAGGCCATATTTTGGGGGTCAAAAGAAAATAAGACCCTGTCTTATTTTCAGGGAAACACGGTATATTGAAAAATGATTTTTATAGCATTATTTATATATAATAATATATAAAGGGACATGGTGGCTCAGTGGCTAAGATGCTGAACTTGTCGATCAAAAGGTCAGCAGTTCAGCGGTTCGAATCCCTAGTGCTGCATAACAGTTCAGCGGTTCAAATCCCTAGTGCTGCGTAACAGGGTGAGCTCCCGTTATTTATCCCAGTTTCTGCCAACCTAGCAGTTCGAAAACACATAAAAAATACAAGTAGAAAAATAGGGACCACCTTTGGTGGGAAGGTAACAGCATTCCGTGCGCCTTTGGCATTGAGTCACACCGGCCACATGACCATGGAGACGTCTTCACACAGCGCTGGCTCTTCAGCTTTGAAAGGGAGATGAGCATCACCCCTAGAGTTGGGAACAACTAGCACATATGTGCAAGGGGAACCTTTACCTTTACCTTTACCTTAAATGTCATATGCAGATATTATAGTGTAATGCATGGCATCATGACTATTAGGAATATATAAAAATTGGTCAGTTTATGACATTGTTGTTTCATCACACAAACCCTAATGGGGCAGATACATGTAATTGGGTGAGGTAACCTCTCAAATAACCTGCCCCCATGTCATGTAAGGCTTTAAAGATCACAACATCTTGAACTGGACCCAGAAGCAATCTGGTAACCATGGAGCAGAAGCTTAAGTGCACCAGCTTAAGCTTCTGGATACTCTTCAACAACAGCCCCATGTAGAATGAATTACAGTACTCCATCTGAGATGTGATTAGGGCATAAGTGACTTGACAGGTAGGGTTGCAACTGGCATGCAGCATGAAGCTGTGCGAAAGTCCTCCTAGCCATGACTACAACTTGCACTTCAAACAAGAGTTATGAATTCAGAACAATTCCCAGATTGCACATTGGGTCTGTCTGGAACAATTGCAACCCATCTAAAGCCAAATATGGTAAATCCTAAAATATGGAAGGTTCCCCAACCCCAAAGCCACTCAGTCTTGCCCGGATTCAGCTGAAGCCTGTTGTTCCCCATCTAGACCCTCCAGGTCTCCAGGCACCAAGAAAAGATATCAACAGCATCATTTAGCTTAACAGGGACAGAACATATTGATGATACCTAGCCCCATGATCAATAATCTCACTCATTAGCTTCATATAGATGTTAAACAGAAATGGAGATAACACAATGCAGCAGAGGTGCCGATACAGTAGCAACAACTCCAATTGATCCTTAGAGCTCAAATTAATGAACAGGGTCTCGTAACTTAATGAACAGAGTCCCACAACGGTGAGGAACAGCACCCCTGGTGGGGGGCCTTAATGCTGCCCATCCACATATAAACCCTTGGACAAAAGAATGAGCCAGATTGAAGTTTCTCACAAGGGTAGAATTTTCTCTGTATTTATTAAAATGATGCTCACAATTCTAAATGTGTATCTTTACATCATACCTTGCTATGTGTAAATCGTCAGCATGCAGGGCTGCAATTCTATTGTTCTCATTTTGCACATCTGTTTTCTTTTTTCCAGTAAGAATAATTGGTTATGCCAGGTAGCAGCAGATTCTGACTTTCAGAATTCTTGTGGGAGAATGTATTGAGGAATTTGTGGAAACATATAGACAGATGCTTAGTTCAATGTATTTCACAGTAAAATACAAAGTGTGTGTGTGGGGGGGAGTGTTTGTTATATTATATTCCCCCATTCCTCTACATGTCCTTGCACATGTATAATCGTTGCATCTTTCAAGATTTAAAGGGATGGGTTTTGTATATGTCTGGCTACATTAAATATCTAAATAATACATTTTGTATTCATTATAATTAAAACAGGTGGGTTGTAAGATAGAAAATATTTGAAGTTTGTTTACTTGTTCAATATGGCATAAATCAGTTTTTCTCTAGAAATCAAAGTTCCACACAGCAAGGTTTCAATTCTGTTCGAATTCTGATGGGACCAAAAGTAAAATGAATAGAACCCCTCTGAATAAAAACACTTCCAAATATTAAGGATATTAATTTCATATTTCACCTTTTCACTGCACACCTTGAATTATACCTGGGTGTGCCATAAATGCCTATACCTGTGCATAATTCCC